AAAAAAAAAAAAAAAAAAATCGCCCTATATGGGCAATGTTTAGATTAGATCATAGGCAAAGTGGGGATAAATAAAATTCCCAAGTCACAATGTCGTCATCAGGATCACAATCAGCTGAGATATATGCAGTACCAAGTGCAATGCTAGTGTAATGTTTGTGGGGCACTGTATTATTTCCAATTAGTAAAGACTATTAAATTAAATTAAAATTAATTAAATAACTATCAAATTTTATTAAATGCATATCAATAAACTTGTGTTGACAAATAAATTTAAGCTGTGTTCAAGCCATGCTGAATTCTTTATTAGCAAATAATCAAAAATATTTTCCACAGTGGAACATTATTAAATGAAAGTAAAACATGTTAAGAACTAGTATTGCTATAAATATATATGCAACAGTAGAAACTAATCATATGTATACATGTGTTTGTTTCAGTATTCTGAGTAGGATACATATACAACATTAATTTTACTAGAGATTAAAGTAGATGAAATGTATCTTTATGAATGTATATACATCTGCAAACAACCATGCTAAATACATGGGAGTTAAGAATTTTCATTGGCCATTTATTCAGTCGCTTGAGAGTTATCTTCTATTTCTTCTAATTTTACAAATTCCTTGATAAATTTCCAAAGTCCCCTTAAAATACAAAAGAAATGAATACCATAGGTTAGAAAAAAAATACATTAAGCATGAAAGAAAATTTCAAAATAAACATCTATTTTAGACACATTTACCCAAAAAAAGACAAGATGAGAGTTCGTAATCATTTACTTTTTAAAAACATATTTGTATGAAGTTTTGGCCTTGAATGTAACAGATCCTCTAAATAAATAGATGTATTCTCCTGTAGCATATGGTATGGCAGCGAAGGTATGTGTACCATGAGCATAATGATAGACTTTAGTTCCATTCACTCTCATTGCCAAGGCTATGTGAGGTGCTTCCCCAGTTTTGTATTTGTAACTCTATTCCCTCTTTTAAAGAACATCCTACATGATACAAGAAACCGCAAAACCTCCATCAACCTGTACGACTCACTCAGCACTCTATCCAATCTCTTTCTCCCATGGCTTTTTCTGCCCCATAAGCTGGAGAGTGGGGTGCTCCATGTTCTGGCCTCTCTTATAGCTGAGAGTGGACTTGACCCATGGTGCTGGCCAATGAGATGTGGTGGAGCACCTGGAGAGAATCGAGCTTCCTGAATAAACTGGAAAGCCTCAAATTGAGAAGCTCTTTGCCTTCTGTCCTTCACCTTTCCCTTTCTTAATCCATGGAATGCAGACTGGTTAATGTCTGAAGACAGCCGTATTGAGACTCTAAGGAGGCAGCAGCCATACTCAAAGGAAAGCAGAGAAGACAGGTGAGGAGCCCTAGTTCCTTAATGATGTCATTGAGCCCAAGCCACCTACACCTAAAAGTCCTTTTCCTGCTGATTAAAAAAAAAAAAAAAAAAAAAAAGCCTTTCCCTCTTTAAATCAACATATGGTTTTTCATTGCTCTTAATACCAAATTCTGAGATTCAAGCTATAGTACCAACTCAGAGAAAAGTAACTGTGTGAAGTATAAGCTTGTAATATAAATAAGTTTATACCAATATTATAAGTTTAGTTATAAACAAATGATATAAATCAGCCGCTTACTTTTTAAACTAAAAATTTCAGAGTAATATATGTATAGGGGTTTTCAAAATGTATCATCACTAAAAGCCATATAATTGGAGAAAATAAAGCCATGCCTCCCTACTTTCCTGATTCCTGGCCATGAGAATTCACCTTTACCTCCAACTTATTAATTTATTTCTATGTTATTAAAGGGTACAGATTGAGGTCTAAATCTTAGAGTGACCATTCCAAAGCATGGAAAAAGGATGCAACATGTGTATTTAATGTAAGCATTCATGAGTGTGAACCCTTCAAAGGCCTGTCTAGTCTAATTTAGTTTTGAATAACTGATCTTGAGAACAGCGTGATACTACTCTAGTTCTTTTATCATGATGTCAATACTTACTCCTGCCCCTCTTCACTGATTCTTCCCATGGTCTGCTTCATATTGCTTTCAATAACCTACAAAGAATTATCATCATTGGGTCATGCTTATTACATAGGACAGGCAGGCACTAGAGGAAATATTTTTATTGATAAACATTGATTCACAAAAAAACTTACTTTTATTTTCTTCTTTAAAATTGTATTTTCTGTTTCAAATTTTATAACTTCTTGCTGGAGGAGAAGTGGTTTGAAAAGCAATATACTTGGTTAAAAATATTTGTTAACTATTTTTCTCTATTTAACAAGATTATGTGAATAATGTTATAATTTCAAGAATACTCAATAGCACACTACTTAAAAACAGATGAAGAAATAAAGCATAAAATGAAGGACAGTTAATGAGAAGGAAACATCCTGGTCCTCTGGATAAAAAAACAGAAGAGGTGGAATTAATGTTTCAAAATATCAGAAAATTTTAGAAGAGGAAATTCCAGAAGAGTTCTTTACTTTTCGAAACTAATGATAGAACTTGTTAAGGTGGCCGGAAGAATATAAAAATACAAATATCAATAAATCACACATATATCAGCAATAACTGAGTGTAAACTGTAATGGGAATTTTTTTAATTACTAGTTATAATAGTAATACATTCCAGAAACTCTTAAGAATAAACATAATTATTTTGCACCAAGATATAAAAATAAATTAAATAAGCACAAAATAATCCCAGATAGGAGTATTAATATGGTAAAGCTGTCACTTCCTCCCAAATGCATTTATGAATTCATTGTAAGCACAATCAAAATACCAAAAGTATTATTATCAAAACTTCAAAAATTAGTCAATAGTGTTAATGAGAATATTCAAGATAATTCTGAACAAAATAATGATGAGCAGAGGGTATAAAGACTTGCTCTTTCAGATATTAGATGTGTTGAAAAGGATTAGCAATGTAACAGTTAGGCTTAATGGGGTATTATTAAGAACCAAGGCTGAGTTTCAATACTAAGTCTACTGCTTGTTAACTGTGACCTCAATCAAGTTACTTAACATATTTGCACCCTATTTCCATACTTCAAAAAGAGACTTAATACTACCATCTATCTGTTAGGGTTGCTGCAAATTAAATGAAATTATATTTTTTTAATGTTCATAAAAGTGTCTGATGCATTGTGAATCCTCAATACATTGACCTCTCTCTCTCTCTCTTTTTTTTCCTGGTTGGAAATTGCCTATTTCAAATCTAGAACCACATACCAATTACATAACAGAATAACAATGGCAATTCTGTTGTATTTTCCAGTATTTGAAATTAAGAGCCAAATATAAATAGGAAGTAAAGTAATATAAATTAGTGATATGGAATCTTCATAGGGAGCTTTCTATTCCTTAGATTTATCCAGCGAGGTTTTAACTATGAAAGAAAAGTTTACATGATTTCGACATTATATCATGCTTTAATATTTAAAGTTAGAGCTTATTACTGTTTAAAAATACAGTTATAAATTGATGGTTGTTCTGAGGGCATTTATTTATTTTTTTAAGAAATAAAAGAGAACAAATCCTAAACAAAAAACACAGAAGAAAATCTTCAGGAATGGGCCAAGATGGCTGACTAGAAGCAGCTGCTGTCAGCAGTTCCCACTGAGAAGAATGAAAATGGTAAGTGACTCCTACACAGCTGAGGTATCCAGGTTCTCTCATTGGGACTGACTAGGTGTTTGGCATGACCCACAGAGAGCAAAAAAAAGCAGGGTGAAGAGATGGCCCACCTGGGAGCTGCAAGGGGGAAGGGGAACTTCCACTCCCCGCCAAAGGAGGCGGTGAGTGATGGTGCTATCCTGCCCAGGAAACCATGCTTTGTCCACGGATATGTGCAACCTGCAGATCAGATCTCATGAGTCCACACCACCAGGGGCTTGGGTTCCACGAACAGAACCACTCAGGTTGCCAAGTTCCCTACAGGGAGGGGCAGCCACTATCACTGTGGCTGTCTGCTGCCTAAGACAACAAAGTTCCTGCGGGGAAGGGGGGTAGCCATCACTCCATCTCCAGTCTGCTGTTTTCCCCGGCTGGTGTCAGACAGACTGGACAGTTGGGACAGGGAGGAATTCCGCACAGCACAGCACAGCACAGCACAGTGGCTTTGGCAGACTGTGGCCAGACTGCTTCTTTAGTTGGGAGCTGTATCTATTCCTCCTCACCAAGTGGTGCCTCCCTATGGAAATTTCAGCCACTCCAGCCAGGGGTTTATGAACAGAACTCTGATCTCCCTGGGATGGAGTCCCTGGGGCGAGGGGTTGCTGTGGTCTCTGGTTCAGCAGACTTAGTCTTTCCTGTCTGCTGGCTCTGAAGAGACCTGTCTGGACAAGGGGGATTCCCCCCAGCACAGTGCACTTCCTCCACTAAGGGCCAGACAGAGTGGTCTCTTAAGCAGATGCCTAATCACATGCCTCCTAACTGGCTGATACTTCCCAACAGGGATCGCTAGACACCTTATACAAATGCATTCCTGTTGTAATTAGGCTGGTACCCCTATGGGACAAAGCTCCCAGAGGAAGGAGCAGGTAGCAATCTTTGCTGTTTTGCAGACTCCATTGGTTACACCTCCAGGTGCTGGAGGGACCCAGGTGAATAGGGTCTGAAGTGGACCCTCAGCAAACTGCAGCAGCCCTATGGAAGAGAGGTCTGCTAAAAAAGCAAACAAACAGAAAGCAACAGCAACAACAACATCAACAAATAAGACCTCAACAAAACCCCATCCAAAGGTCATCAGCCTCAAAAATCAAAGATAGATAAGTGCATGAAGATGAGAAAGAATCAATGCAAAAATGCTTAAAACTCAAAAAGCCTGAGTTCCTCTTCTCCTCAAAATGATCTCAACACCTCTCAACAAGGGTGAAGACCTGGGCTGAGGCTGAGACGGATGAACTGGCAGATGTAGACTTTAGAAGGTGGGTAATAACAAAATTCACTGAGCTAAAGGGGTATGTTCTAATCCAATGCAAAGAAACAAAGAACGGTGATAAAACATTACAGGAGCTGTTAGCCAGAATAACCAGTTTAGACAGGAACATAAATGACCTGATGAAGTTGAGAAACACAACTCAAGATCTTCATAATGCAACCACCAGTATCAATAGCCAAATAGACCCAGTGGAGGAAATAATCTCAGAGAAAAAAGAATGAAAGGAATAAACAAAACTTCTGAGAATTATGTGATTATCTAAAAATACTGAATCTAATTAGTTCAACCACTGTGGAAGACAGTGTGGCAATTTCTCAAGGACCTAGAAATAGAAATTCCATTTGACCCAGCAATCCCTTTACTGGGTATATACCTAAAGAACTATAAATCGTTCTACTATAAAGACACATGCACACATATGTTCACTGCAACCCTGTGTACAACAGCAAAGACCTGGAACCAACCCAAATGCCCATCATTGATAGACTGGACAAAGAAAATATGGTACATATACACCATGGAATATGACGCAGTCATAAAAAATGATGAGTTCATGTCCTTTGTAGGGACTTGGATGAATGTGGAAACCATCATTCTCAGACAGAAAGCCAAACACCACATGTTCTCACTCACAGGTGGGTGTTGAACAATGAGAACATGTGAACTCACAGAAAGGAGCATCACACACTGGGGCAGTTGTTGGGGGTAGGCGAGAGATAGCAGGGGGTGGGGAGGGATAACATGGGGAGAAATGCCAGATATAGTATGCACCAAAAGTTAAATAAATAACTTTTTTAAAAAAATGCTGAATCTACTGCTAAGTGGCATACTTGAAAGAGACAAGGAGAATGGAAGCAAGTTTGAAAACACACTTCAGTATTTAATCCAGGAGAATTCCCCAACCTAGCAAGGCAGACCAACGTTCAGATACAGGAAATCCAGAGAACCCCAGTAAAATACTCCATGAGAAGATCCCAATACACATAATCATCAGATTCCCAAAGGTCAAAATGAAGGAAAAAAATGTTAAGGGCAGCCAGAGAGAAAAGCTAGGTAACCTACAAAGGGAAACCCATCAGACTAACAGCATACCTCTCAGTGGAAACCTTACAAGCCAGAGAGATTGGGGGGGTCAACACTTAACATTCTTAAGGAAAGGAATCTGCAACCCAGATTTTCATATCCAACCAAACTAAGCTTCATAAGCAGAGGAGAAATAAAATCCTTTTTAGAAAAGAAAATGATGAGGGAATTTGTCACCACCAGGCCTGCCTTACAAGAGCTCCTGAAGGAAGCATTAAATATGGAAAAGAAATCCATTACCAGCTACTACAAAAACACACTAAAGTACACAGACCAATAACACTCTGAAGCAACTACATTAGCAAGTCTGCAAAATAACCAGCTAGCATCATGATGACAGGATTAAATTAGCACATAATAATATTAACCTTAAATGTAAATGGGCTAAACACCCCAATCAAAAGATACAGAATGGCAAGCTGGATGAAAAGTCAAGACTCATCAGTGTGCTGTATGCAAGAGACCCATCTTATGTACAAAGACACACATAGACTCAAAATAAAGGGGTGGAGAATAATTTACCAAGCAAAAGGAAAGCAGAAAAAATCAGGGGTTGCAATCTTACTTTCTGAAAAACAGATTTTAAACCAACAAAGATCAAAAAATAAAAAGAAGGGCATTACATAATGGTCAATGGTTAAATTCAACAAGAAGAGCTAACTATCCTAAAGATACTTGCACTCAATATAGGAGCACCCAGATTTATAAAACAAGTTCTTAGAGACCTACAAAGTCTCTAATAATAGTGGGAGACTTTAACACCCTACTGTCAGTATAAAACAGATCATTGAGACAGAAAATTAACAAAGATATTCAGGACTTGAAATCAGCTCTGGATCAAGTGGACCTGATAGATATCTACAGAACTCTCCATCCTCAAACAACAGAATATGCATTCTACTCAATGTCACATGGCACTTACTCTAAAATTAATCACATAATTGAAAGTAAAACACTCCTCAGTAAATGTAACAGAACTGAAATCATAACAAATAGTCTCCTAGACCACATGCAATCAAATTAGAACTCAAGATTAAGAAACTCACTCAAAGCCACACAACTACATGGAAATTGAACAACCTGTTCCTGAATGACTCTTCAGTAAATAATAAAATTAAGGCAAAAATCAAGAAATTATTTGAAACTAATAAGAACAAAGAGACATCAAAGAGACAAATATCTCTGGGATGCAGCTAAAGCAGTGTTAAGAGTGGAATGTATAGCACTAAATGCCCATATCGGAAAGTCAGAAAGATCTCAAATCAACATCATAACATCACAACTAAAAAACCAAATTCAAACAAACCCCAAACCAAGCAGAAGACAAGAAATAACGAAGATCAGGGCAGAAGGGAAGGAAATAGAGACACAAAAAACCCCTCAAAAAAATCAATGAATCCAGGAGCTGGTTTTTTGAAAAAATTAATAAAATAAATAGACTGCTAGCTAGATTAATGAAGAAGAAAAGAGAAAAGAATCAAATAGACAAAATAAAAAATGATAAATGGAATATCACCACTGACCCTACAGAAATACAAACAACCATTAGAGAATGCTAAAACACCTCTATGCAAATAAACTAGAAAATCTAGAACAAATGGATAAATTTCTGGACACACGCACCCTCCCAAGACTGAACCAGGAAGAATTTGAATCCCTGAATAGACCAATAATGAGTTCTGAAATTAAAGCAGTAATAAATAGTCTACCAATTAAAAAAAAAATCCCAGGACCAAATGGATTTACAGCTGAATTTTACCAGAGGTACAAAGAGGAGCTGGCACCATTTCTTCTAAAACCATTCCAAACAAAAAGGAGGGACTCCTTAACTCATTTAATGAAGCCCGCATCATCCTCATACCAAAACCAGCATGCACAAGACAAGGATACCCTCTCTCACCACTCCTATTTAACATACCATTGGATGTTCTGGTCAAGGCAATCAGGCAAGAGAAAGAAAGAAAGGGTATTGAAATAGGAAGAGAGAAAGTCAAATCGTCTGTTTGCAGATTACATGATCCTATATCTAGAAAACCCCATCATCTCAGCCCCAAAGCTTCTTAAGCTGATAAGCAACTTCAGCAAAGTCTCAGGATACAAAATCAATGTGCAAAAATTCCAGGCAGTCCTGTACACCAATGACACACAACAGGGAGCCAAATCATCAATGAACTCCCATTCACAATTGCCACAAAGAGAACAAAATACCTAGGAATACAGCCAACAAGAGAAGTGAAGGACTTCTTCAGGGGGGACTACAAACCACTACTCAAGGAAATCAGAGAGGACATAAACAAATGGAAAAACGTTCCATGCACATGCATAGAAAGAATCAATATCATGAAAATGGCAATGTTTCCCAAAGTAGTTTATATGTTCAATGCTATTCCCAATAAACTACCATTAACATTCTTCACATAATTAGAAAAAAAAAAGTATTTTAAATTTTATATGGGAAAAAATGATCCCTTATAGTCAACACAATCCTAATCAAAAAGAAGAAAGCTGGAGGCATCATGCTGCCTGACTTCAAACTATAGTAACCAAAACAATACAAGCCTACAGTAACCTAAACAGCATGGTACTGGTACAAAAACAGACACAAAGACAAATGGAACAGAATAGAGAACTCAGAAATAAGACTGTACACCTACAACCACCTGATATTTGGCAAACCTGACAAAAACAAGTAATGGGGAAAGGATTCCCTGTTTAATAAATGGTGCTGGGAGAACTAGCTATCCATATGCAGAAAATTGAAACTGGACCCCTCCCTTACACCTTATACAAAAATTAACTCAAGATAGGTTAAATACCTAAATGTAAAACACAAAACTATAAGACCCTAGAAGAAAATCTAGGCAATAACATTCAGGATACAAGCATGGCAAAGATTTCATAGTGAAAACATCAAAAGCAATTGCAACAAAAGCAATGGGATCTAATTAAACTAAACAGCTTCTGCATGGCAAAAGAGACTATCATCACAGCTAACAGACAACCCACAGAATGGGAGAAAATTTTTGCAATCTATCTATCTGACTAATGTCTAATATTCAGAATCTATAAAGGACTTAAACAAATTTACAAAAAAACACAAATAGCCCCATTAAAAAATGGGCAAAGGGCATGAACAGACACTTCTCAAAAGAAGACATGTGCCCAAAAACCATATGAAAAAAAGCTCAGCATCACAGATCATCAGAGAAATGCAAATCAAAACCACAATGACATACCATTTCACACCAGTCAGAATGGCAATTATTGAAAAGTCAAGAAACAACAGATGCTGGCAAAGTTGTAGAGAAATAGGAATGCTTTTACACTGTTGGTGGGAATGTAAGTTAGTTCAACCATTGTGGAAAAGTGTGGCAATTCCTCAAAGATTTAGAACTCAAAATACCATTTGACCCAGCAGCCCCATTGCTGGACATATACTGAAAGGAATATAAATCATTCTATTATAAATATACATGTATACATATATATTCATTGCAGCACTATTCCCAATAACAAAGATATGGAATGAACCCAAATGCCCATCAGTGATAAACTGGACTTAAAAAATGTGGTACATATACACCATGGAATACTATGCAGCCATAAAAAGGAATGAGAGCATGTCCTTTTCGGGGTCATGGATGGAACTGGAAGCCATGATCCTCAGCTAACTGATGCAGGAACAGAAAAGCAAACATCACATGTTCTCACTTATAAGTGGGAGCTGGACAATGAGAACACATGGACACAGGGAGGGGAACAACACACACTGGGGCCTGTCAGGGAGGCAAAGGGAAGGAAAGCAACAGGAAAAATAGCTAATGCATGCTGGACTTAATACTAGGTGATGGGTTGATAGGTGCAGCAAATTACCATGGCACACATTTACCTGTATAACAAACCTGCACATCCTGTACCTGTACCCTGAAACTTAGACAAAAATACAAAATCAAAAAAGTAAAAAAAGTAAAACCTTACCTTTTTAAAATAAGGCTAGAGTGAGTAAAATTATTTCATCCAGTAATATTTCATTCCTGTAACAGTAAACCATAGAGTTTCCTCTATCTTTAAATAATTTTCTTCTGAAACAGGGGTCAACAAACTAATCCAGTCGGCCACCTGTTTCTGTAAATAAAGTTTTATTGGCACACAGCATGCCCCCCTCCAAAAAAGAAAATCTGAACATATTATTTTAAAAGAGAAAGAATTTTTAATAAAAAAAAATGTGGACCATCAATGCCTTTCTATATGCAGTATAATTCTGCTAAAAAGAATAAAAGTAGTGCTGGAATACAGTTAATTATAGAACCACAAGGAATAAAATCATGCATTTCTTATATACTCTATAAATAGAGGTTACATTGAGTTAGAGTCTACACAATTTTAAATTATGTCTTTAATTTTTTAGCTTTTATGGATTTAGGGGTACGAGTGCAGTTGTATTACATGGATATATGTGCAATGGTGGGCTTTAGTGCACCACCACCCAAATAATGTACAGTATACCCAGTAGGTAGCATTTCATCCCTCATCCCTCCTTCCACAGTCCCACATTCTGGAGTCTTCAATGTCTATTATTCCACTCTATATGTCCATGTTACCCAAGAAAAATAGGTTTTGGCTATTAACAGAAATCTATAGAATTTTTATCACGTTCCTTTTTTCTTGTTTTAGATAGATCTCTTAATTATTGTAATTATTTGCTACAAACATTTTTAAATAAAAAGTACACTTGAGCCAAATGTTATGAATTTTTTACCCTATTACCAAACACATTACTTAATGTGTTTATCAAGATCTTCAAGCAAAAGAACAATGTAAATATTTAAATAAATAAGTTGCATACCTCTATGCTTTTAATCCTATTTTCAGTGATACCTGAAACTCCAGTATGAACCAAAGTTGTTTTAATTTCTTTTTCCAGAGCTTGTATCTCATCCCACTTATTGAGTATTTCACATCTCTTCTTTTCAACCTTCTCAATAAGAGTAAGTTGGTTCTCATCAATTATATGTTTCTTAGATGATTCTGGAAATATTTTTAAAACAAAGAATTACCATCATTAATATCTCAGTTATTAATATCATTTATGTAGTATTAACAATATTATCTATACTATGGTATATATAACCATAAAGTATCATATAATTCAAACTTGAAGCGTGTCAATAAAAATAATCTGACCCAAGAATGAGGGTATTCCTCCTTTAATTCATTCAGCTAATCAATATGTATTTGTTGAACACATGCACTGAACTAGGTAGAAAGGTTCAATGATGCATTAGCCTTTTTCAGGGTGTGTGATTAACAGTGTAAACCAACAAGAAACCACAAGAAAGTGACAATATGGTGGCACAGTAGAAGATGCAATGGTATGACAAAGCAAGGACATCGGACACACTGTGAGGAAGGCTCAAGGATGACTTTGACAGAGAAGTGGCAATGGTGGAAACCCCTGATAAGACCATCAGATCTTGTGAGATTTATTCAGTACCACCAGAACAGTACGGGGGAAACCGCCCTCATGATTCAATTATCTCCTACTGGGTCCCTCCCACAACACATGAGAATTACGGGAGCTACAATTAAGATGAGATTTGGGTGGGGACACAGAGCCAAACCGTATCAGGATAGCACTCCCAGCATGAAGAGAAGTGAAGAAATCCAAAAACGATTTAGGAAATAAAAAAGAAAAAATAGACCTTAGTAATTAACTAGATCTGGCAATGTAGAGAAGAAGGCAATGTCAAAAATAAGCCATAGGTTTTAGCTCAGTTGTAGCTAGAAAGAAAACAATGAGTTCAATGGAGCATGGAGGTAAGAAAGAAATTGTTTCAATCCCAACTTGGCCACTTATTCCAAGCTGTGTAGGGAGAGGTTGAGGGGTAGGACAATGAAAGTTGCCTAGCACATGTTTTATGACCCGCATCTCCATGTATTTGGTGATACCATCCACTGAAATAGCCAGGGAGATGCCAAGTTAGAGAAGGAGATGATGAGTTTAATCTCTGACATGTTGAGATACCTATGAAACACACAAGAAAAAAAAAATAGATGAAGGGTTTTTAGTAGAAAAAATAGATTTGGAATTTTTAAAAATGCCAATTCTTCCAAAGAGATGCTGGACTCCAAAAAAATCAACATTTAAAGAGGATAAAAAGGAAATGGAGTTGTCAAGTGATCCACCACTAAGGCCAATTTGTCATCAATCAGCAGAGTTATATACTGAATGGAGTGGTGAGACTTAATTTTTTTGAGAATAAACAATTACTACTTTTCAATGGGAATAAAGCAGTCAGAAATATTAATAACCCTTACTTGTAGATAGGAAACAAGATGGAAGTCATGCTGTCATTCAACTTTGCCAAATTTGGAAGAAGGAAAATCTTTGATATTAAATTTGGAAATTTGGGGGGATTAGTTAAGTAGACACATGATGAGCTAGCTAAGGGGATAGAAATGGTCATAGTTAAGCTCTACACAAACTGAGAGAAACTACAACAGAGTGTTTGGTCCCCACCTTAATCTAAACTGAAGGTTTCAGCCTAAAACCGTCAGCTGAGGTCAAAGAGGCCAAAAGCGGTGTCCAGCCAGGCGAGTGACCTCCACACTCACCCCTTTTCTAAAAGCCCTCAAGAAATAGGTATGAAAATGGGGACATTCCACAGCAAACGTGTATGATTAGAGAGCAGGCTTCTGAGACAGAAGGCTTTGGGAAAAGATAAAGCGGGAAGAGCCAGGGTCACCAGGTTTGTTCCATTGCAGTCAGAGTGATGGGAATAGTGGGCTAGGATCAAACATGAAGAAAGGTTACTAGAGCTCTAGAAAGTTAGTCACTGCATCTTATTTTTATTCACCATTACCATTTTTCTTATTAGTGGCCAGCAGTAAAGCTTTTAAGTGTCTGCTTTTTTTGGTTTTTGATTTTATTTTTAAATCGTGGGCCTGTTTTAAGAGAAAGCAAGAAAACAGAAAACTCCAAGCGTGGGTCCTATTCCACAGCCTGCCTGTGAGAGGAACCCTACAAAGAACGAACGACATGGTGGATGAAGGGAGAAAACAGGAGACCTTTGAGCCCTGAGAAGGGGAGGATGGAAGGAGAAGCTGAGTCAGCCTGGGACAGAGAGTGGGCGTGGCAAGAGGATGCAAATCAGGCCGCAAGAAACCCGTGCAAGAACATCCAGCAGGGTTAACACCATCCGTGCTGCTCGGAGGTAGAAAAGAGGAAACAGGCGGAAACGGGAAAAGGCAGTAAAAGCATTCGCACAAGGTCCTTTGAGGCCACGCTCTACTAAGAACTTAAAACAGGCTGAGCCTGTGAGCATTCCTACAACACACTGAGAAAAAATATCTAAAAGTAGAGCAGGAGTGAGTGTTTAACAAACTCAGAGGGAAAATGGCATTTCACTTCACAGTTGGAAAATAGTCAAGGTTAATGAGCAAGATACTTAAGCTTACTTTTATCTTTTAATTGCATTCCAATTGTATACATTTAAAGTAATTTTAATATCTATTTCATGCATAAATATTCATAAAACCTAATTAATTCCCCACGAAATGCCTATTCTTCCTCACAATGAATAATAAAAAGATGAATAACAAACAGGCAGTGACCACCACATGCCAGGCCCGGTGCTCTTGGGTGATGTGGGTGAACACGTTGAATTCTCGCCACAAAACTCAGAAGGAGCTCCAGAATGGCTCAGTTGATAGACAGGCAGCCAAGGCTGCAGCAGCTGAAATAATGAAGGTCACAGCAAAGCACCCATCGGCAGGACATCACATAGACACTCGCCTGATCGTTTCTTTGCAGATTGCAGCAACGCCCGCTCTATCGCCAGTTCACTCCTGAGTCTACAATGTGATGATAAAAAATAGGGAAATATTAGATCCCCTTTAATCTTTTTTCTTTTGTCTATGTTACACCTCAAGTCTTTTATAGTTGAGAAATTAAAATAAATCTGCCTATGTTCTAACACAGCAGGTACTCTGAAGATATTTATTAAATGACAGCCTAAATCAGCCAAGTTAAACAAACAAGATAACACCTTCTTACAAAGATTGCATAAGCCATTAAAGAGTTAGTTAATTTAAAGTAAATGATTTCCTAGAGAGTTTATTTGTATTTTTTGTTCATGGAATTGCTAAGAAGGAAGAAGGCAAAACACAAACAAACAAAAAGCAAACCCAGCTTTTTACGCTTAAAGACAAACAACATGTCAAGGGCTGTGGAAAGACCTCCCCGATGCTAGAATACACTGCATCTTTGCTGTGTATTATCATTCTATGCAACAGATACAATTTACAAATTTCACAATGTTTGAATTAAAAATAAAATACAAGAAACTTTTTAAAAAAGGGAAAAAACTTCTTTGTTTCCTTTGCTTGGTTCAGAATAACCTAAATCAACTATCTTATGTTTTATAGATTTAAGGAGAAGACAAAAAGGAGTCTAATAGGTATTACATATATTGAGGACAACACTGTGATTTGATCTAAGACACCAACATGCAAATAAGTTAATGCCAAATATCTACAAAGGGCCTAACCATTTAAGATTTTTACACATATTAGTTCATTTCATTGAAGATTAAGACAGAAACATGGTGGTATTATGATCCTCAATTTTAAGGAACTGGAGCCAGGCATGGTGACTCATGCCTGTAATCCCAGCACTTTGAAGAGCCAAGGCAGGTGGATCCCTTGAGCCCAGGAGATGGAGACCAGCTTGGGCAACCTGGTGAAACCCCATCTCTAAAAAAATACAAAAATTAGTCAAATGTGGTGCCTGTGGTCTCAGCTACTTGGGAGACTGAAGTGGAAGGATCCCTTGAGCCTGAGAGGTTGAAGCTGCAGTGAGCCATGATCATGCCAGTACACTCCAGCCTGGGCAACAGAGCAAGACCCTGTCTCAAAGAAAAAAAAATTAATAAACTGGGAATTCGATGGATTAACAATAATGATAAAAGACTTTTCAATATGTATAAATATTCCAGAAAGTTTTTACACATTGTAGTAGTTTTAAATATTACTTATGTTTGTGTTCTATTGCTTTGTTTTTCTTCTTTGGGGACTTTAATTAAATGTGAACTGGACACTATTTGCTTATCTTCTATTTCATCTACTTTCTCTTACTCTTTTTATTTCTTTATCTTATTTACAGTATTTTAAATATTTCCCCACTTTTTCTCAATGCTCCTTATTATCTTTTCATTCAAAACTATTCTTCCTTGGGCATTTCAGAATTTAGTTTTGACATATGATATAATTTTTACTTTTTCAAATATTTTTCCTCAGTTGTTATCTTGTTTTATTGCTTCTTTATTGTTGCTGATTTCTCTGCTTAGTTTTTAAATTTATGACTGAAGATTGTTTTCGCATCCTGAAATGCTCTTTTGGGAACATCTAATTTAGCTTGGAGTGCTGTGCTACAGCTTTCTTCTTCAACTTTATTATTATTATTCCTTGGTACAGCAGGGACTTTCATCAGGTAAATCATTTGGATTCTCATTTTCTGTTCTATTCTGAGTAGTTCGTATAGGCAAAGATTATTTACATCTCTGCATTTTTGCAGGCTGGACTAGTGATTGGGAGTAGCATGTGAGATTGCTAACTCAAACGGATACTTTTCCATCAGTGTAGCAAATTATGCTATTTTATTATTGATTTGTTGTTTTTTGGTGTTTTTTTGATTTGTTTTGATAGTCCTGGATTGCTTTCTTGTTTAGAAGAGAGAAGGGCAGTATGTGGAAGGGCTGTGTGGACCTTGATTTTTTTCTTTTTACAGGATTCTCATTTTCCTTTCTTGCTCTCTTTTGCCTTCGTTGGACATTTCTAAAGGATGCCGCTACCTTTCCTTTAACCCCTTTCTCACCTGTGTCATTACTATTTCAAAGTTGTTTTCTCACTTCCACACTGTTCCAAGTAACCCCGCCCCGCCCCACCCCAGCTGTCATAGTCAGTGCTGCCACCAGCCCCACAGCACAGCTGTGTGGCTTCCTCGCTTACACGGATTCTCTCTCTGGAAGTGGTTTTAGAACAATTTTAGGCTTCCTTCTAGCTCCACTGTTCTCTTTCACGAACTTTTCCCAAAACCTCAGTGCTCTCACAAACAAAGCTTTGCAGCAGGGATGTGGAAACTGGTTCACTGCCACTAAATGTTTTCTTTTCTATTTTCAGTCATTTATAAACTTTGGATGCATTTGCAATGAATTCCTTTTTTATTTTTTGCGTTGGCATTCACTTTGAATAGAAGTTTAATTTTCTCACTCCAGAAGCAGGGCTCAGTCACCCTTGCTTGACACAGTTTCTAGTCCTTCTCCTCCCCCCAGTGCCTCAAAATGGTCAGCCCAGATATCTGCCATAAACAACCACCTCCCAGTGACCACCCACTATGAGCCAGCCAAATACAACCTACTTTCCTCAACCCACTGACCCCCCACTCCACACCCTGCATGGGCCATGAGCATATGTTACAGTGACCCAGCAACCACTTCTAGCCACAGCGCGACCCCACAGCACTTGTGCCTTCTTGCCCTAAATCCACTGATCAGAACTCCCCATGGAAAAGCTGCTTGGGTCATGCTCTGGACCCAAACAAGGCCTTGGTCCATTGGTTCTCACTCTCTCTTGCTCCCCTACCTGGCGGTGGAGACAGTGTGTTTCAGGTGGTTCCTCCTTCCTACCACCCCTGCGAGGTATGCTACCCTCTTTTCTCTGGGATCTGTAAGTGACAAATCTGCCATTTCATGTGCTTTTTTCGGTGGCCTCCTCTGTCCCTCACCTGACAGGCACACTTGAACCTCACCTTTTCCAGCTAGGGCTTTCCCAGAGACTGGCTGTCTTTGTAGGAATAAACTAGACAACACACCAGACAATGGCCACAAGGGCTTCTGCCAGTGTAGTCGGGTTTCTTGTGAGAGAGACATCTGGTCACAGGTCAGACGCTTAGGCATTAAGCCTGAGGGCCAGATGAAAACACATCCCATGAAGGGCATCCTCCACCAGCCTTCCGAAGCCCTTTCAGGTCAGGGCTAGAGTTCATAGCCACCCTTGTGAGAGAGACCTCAAGACCAAATTGGAGGGCAGGTGCGGTAGTTCATTCCTGTAATCCCAGCACTTTATGAGGCTGAGATGAGTGGATCACTTGAGGTCAGAAGTTCAAGAGCAGCCTGACCAACATGTTGAAACCCCATCTGCACTAAAAATACAAAAATTAGCTGGCCGTGGTGGCACACACCTATAATCCCAGATATTCGGGAGGCTGAGGCAGGGGATTCATTTGAACCTGGGAGATGGAGGTTGCAATGAACTTAGATCACCCCCCTGCACTCCAGCCTGGGTGACAGATCAAGGCTCCATCACAAAAAAAAAAAAAAAAAAAAAAAAAAGGCCAAACCGGAGCAAAATACAAAGCTCTCTGTCTTCCAGTTACACCGAAGGCAAATTTTGTTTTTGGTTTTGTTTCTTGTTTTGCTGTATTGAAGATATTTTAGATGTTGCAGTTTTCCTTTAATCTCATTTTAAAAATCATACAAACAGTATGCCCTATCCAATTGTGATTTGATCCTGGAAAAAAATGCAGGGAGGTTATATTAGAAGAGCTTTGTAAGTTAAAAAACCAGTAAGACCATTGAAAGGTGTTTTAGATATGTAGCTCTCTCCCCTGTTGGTAAGTCTTCAGGGGACCACCAAAAAAAGACAGGAAATTCCTTCAGAAACTTCCCCAAACTCTCCCCACAGAAACACCATACTTGGCAGAATACCCTAGTCACATGCCTGTGCAAGTAGCCAGACCAGGAAACAATGTAACGATAGGCTTGTCACAACGCTTTAAGATTTTATTACAGAATAATCTAAACGTAGATCAGATCCACCACTCATGCCTCACCTGTCATTACGCTCCAGGGCTGCTTTTATGGCTTTCACGAGCATCCTCAGCTCTTCCCTGGCGAGATCCACGTCTGCCGTCTTCACTGGCCTCTGCTCCAGCCCCTTGAGTTGAGCCAGAAGAGCCTAGGCAGGACCAGGCACGTGAGGTGAGACAAGCACATGGGGAGGAGGGGAGGACTCCCTTTTTTATTTGTCATTAATGCGTTTTCAGGGTGCCCTGGGTTAACGTATACATTCTAGTTAAAATAGGTAAACCGGGAGGATTGAAGGGAGGGATGGCCGTTGGGGGAGGGATGGCCTATTGGTGACGTTCCCAGTAAAATACGTTTATCCGTATGTTAAGAGTTAATTTTTCTAAGAAATGGAAAGATGGTAGTGAACTCCCCTTTGGCCTGTGTGGGGGGGACACTCTGGGTGAAGTCCTGGAGGCACATTGTCAGTGGCACTGCAATCATTTCTTCTACAGGAATAAGAAGCCAAGTGAATGTGATTGCCATCCGCAGATGTAAAGCAGTGCTGTGCTCAAATGGGAAGTCACAGAGATCTCGGCCTCGTCAGAGGATGGGCTGCTAGGATCACAGACACAGAAAGAGGCATCCAGGGCCCTGCTGGCCTGGGAATCTCTTCATGCTCACGTTTGACCAAGACAGGGACGTATGTCACTTTCTCACTCAACCTCACAACCTAAGGAGCAAGGTAGATTCCCCACTGGAAACTTCGCTCACATTCTTGTAAAGACAAAGGCTGCGTCTGTGTTATGGAAAGGCTCAGCACAAAGAAAATGGTGCTCATGTCTGATTTTAGATGAAGGAGCGAACCAGAACTCATCTCCTCGTAATGCTGTGATTTGCTTTTTCATATACAAAAGAAGCAACTGTCTTTCCTAATTTATGAAGTAAAATTAATCTTTAAAGTTTATTGAATTCAAAATGCCAAAGTTATCTTTGCTACAGTGTTCAATTTTCTTAGGTTTTATAAGTGATAAAGTTATCCCTGCAGTGCATTTTCTTATTCGACCAATCACATGTTTAACCCAGCCCTTGAGAGAACACCTGGAATGCTGTTACCCATTAAAAGAAGAGATCATGGGGTTTTGAGCCGGCTTCTAGCACACTAGCCATTACAATGCATTCTCAGTGTTTTCACCAGGGTGAGGACTGGACAATGGTTTTTGGTACTTACTGGCAGAGAACCTTTTATATTCCCAATTTATACATATATAGTTATGTCGCTTGTTTGGGAGTATAAAGAATGCTATGTCAATCCAAAGTGAAATTCTTTATCAATAATGTTCTAAAGGCAGTATAAGCTCACTTATAATAAAAAAAAATCAGCTATTCTAAATTATGGGGCACACATGGGGCTTGTGGGATTCAGGAAGATTTCCACTGCTCGTGAAATATGAAGCCATGAATAAGGAGGCTCCATTCAGACTCTTCACAATTGATTGTCACCTCGTACTGTGCTGGGGGCTGGGACTCCAGGAGCGTCGCCATGTAGAGTTCGTATTCATCCTGTACAGAAACAAACAAAAAGTCCACTGGCCATGCGTGGGGAGGCCACAGTGCAAGCGTTTCGTGTGTATAAATAATACAGAAGTTAAGAATGTTTATTTACATCATTTCAAAAAAATATAAAATGTTCCTACAATGCATTAAACGGTATACCTGTTCTCATTTATAAAATCACACCATCTTTGAAGCATATTTGAGCATTAAGTATTAATTACCTCAGAATATCATAAAATATTATACAACAAAATATAAAGTATTGATCACTTCAGAATGTCATAAAATACCTTGACACACATACAACAATTGATCTCCCACCATGCAGAAGGTCTGTGGAATCCGGTCCTACCGGCCTGCCAGGATGAGCCTCCGGGTGATGAGGCATCATTGGAGAACAGGCCACCAGGTCTCTGTTGTTAGGCATTCCTTGTCATTAGTAAAATTAAAGAATAGCGTAATCTTTAAGCAAGATGATCTCAACTCAGATTCTATATGAAGGTCACTTTCTTTTTTTATTTGCAGCCTCTATCTCCTGGGTTCAAGGGATTCTCCTGCCTCAGCCTCTGAGTAGCTGGGATTACAGGCACGCACCACCATGCCTGGCTAATTTTTGCATTTTTAGTAGAGATGGGGTTTCACCATGTTGGCCAGGCTGATCTTGAACAGCAGACCTCAAGTGATCCACCTGCCTCAACCTCTCAAAGTGCTGGGATTACAGGCATGAGCCACTGCACCCAAAGGTCACTTTCATAATGAAATTGCAACAAACCTGTAATTCCATAAGGATTTATATAAAATTACACATGTAATGTTAAAATAACTAATTATTAATTTATTTGAATTATAATAATTTAAAATAAAAAGTTTGTCACTTATGTATAATTTATAAAAGGTTGTGTATAATCAGGAAGCTTTAGTGGGAAAATATGGGCTTAAGAAGTGAGCTAACTGTGTCAATTTCACATGGCCCCTGTACAATTTACGTGCCTGCAGGCAGATGACCTCGAGTCTCTGTGAATGACGGTCCCCATCTGTAGAAGGGGGCCCGTGATAGCTAGCAGAATTTCTGTGAGGCTTGAGATCATTCATGTACACGGAACCTCATGCAAGCTTCTCAATTGTTACACTGAAGATATGTGTTTCTCACCTTAACTTCTTTCAAGAGATCACCAAATACCAAAGAACTCTTACAAATATCTTCAAAGACTTTTCCAAAGACGTATAGTCTGTTGAACTGCTGAGGGCTGCATGTGCAAATTTTCTGGAGCTCCTGGAGGAAAAACAGAGTCAGCCCATTTTAGGACAGCTTCATTTTTCTTCCAGAACCGAGTTTCTCAGGCGTCAGGGAAGACAGAGCAGCCATCACCCTGGTGACTGGGCAGGATGACACAGGGGGGCATACCCAGGAGTTCTGATCCCTCCCACCAGCTGCTGAGCTTCTTTGCTTCCCTGTCACCCAACATTTGGGTTTTTCTTTAACTCTTCTTCTTTATTCACTCTCTTGCTCCCTGTCCTCAAGGGTTCAATCTCTGCCTCCCCAGTCCCCCAAGGCCCTTTCTCTCTTCCAACCCTGAGGTCTGCCTGCTTCCTGGGGGACCTGCTATTTCCTTTTCCCTTGTGCATCCTCCCTATTTGGAGGTAGTCAGTCTCCCATCAGCTGTTCTCCTTTGAGTCAGCAGCCCATCCTAGATCTTCCCCTCACACCAGCACCTTCTGTAGACACATGCTGCCTGGGCATACTTCAGGGCATGACAGTGCCCATCAGCTCTCTGTCTCTCCTCACTGCTCTTCCATGGTCAGGCAGGCAAGCCCTCTCTCAGACTCCTCGGCTGACCTATGAACATCCGATTTACTGTTGCAGCCACATGGCCTCCAATGTGTCTGCGATGGGCCTCCCCCAGCTTACCAGTTCCCAGATGGCTTCCTCCTCCATTTTACCCAATCTGTCCCCATTGAAGGTGCTAATGCTTCAGGCATCTGGGGCAGTGCTGCACTTTACCTGGACGTGGCAAGGAAGCCTCAGAGGATGAGCCTGTCGCTGCACCAAGAGCATTGCTCTGAGAATACTGTACGGAGAGCACTGCACCGAGAACACTGCACAGAGAGCACTGAACAGAGAGCACTGCACCAACAGCACTGCACAGAGAGCAATGCGCCAAGAACACTGCACAGAGAACACTGCACCAAGAACACTGCACTGAGAACGCTGCACCAAGAACACTGCGCAGAGAGCAATGCACTGAGAACACTGCACAGAGAGCACTGCACCAAGAACACAGCACTGAGAACACTGCACAGAGAACATCGCACAGAGAGCACTGCACAGAGAACACTGCACTGACAGCACTGCACAGAGAACACTGCACCAAGAGAACTGAACTGAGAGCACTGCACCAAGAGCACTACACCAAGAACACTGCACCAAGAGCACTGCATCGAGAGCACTGAACTGAGAGCACCACAGGGCTGCCCTACTCACCTGCTGCAGCTTTCTCTCATGGCCCTTGGCCACCTTGCTCCCAGTGAAGTCATTTTCCAGGAGATCTTGCTTGGCAAGCACTTCCTTCTGGAAATGGAGGAACATCCTGTAGCTGTCAGCCTTGGTGACCCCAGCCAGGTAGGAGCTGACATAGCAGTGCTGGTCCCTGGCACCTCTGAGCCCGGCCTCCTGGTATTGCAGCACCTTCATGTCGGGCAGCCGGAGTTCCCTCCTGCGCCATCCAGGTGGGCCTCTGTGCATCTCCTCCTTCCCTTCTCCAAGAGCCTCCATTGGAAGGAGATCCTCCTCTGAAGTGTGGGAAAGAGAGGCCTGGGGGTTCAGGTACCTGAACAATGGCGTGTCCTGGGCATCGCTGGGGACCAGCGCCGTGTGTATGGTGAAGCGGGCCAGGGCCTCCTTCATCCTCGCCACCCGTCCTGCAGGCGGCTCTCCCACCCCAGAGACACGCTGCTTCCTGGGCCGGTTGGCATTGGGCCAGTGCTGTAAGACTGTGTCGGGAGGCCGGTAGAGCTTGTTGGGGTTCAGGTGTCCAGAGATGTACAGGTAGACGTCCTCCCGATGGTCTTTCTGAAGCCGGTTCAGAAGTTTCTTCAGATTACACAGGGTCTTCACGCCTGGCGTCTCGCAGTGCTTCCACTTCAAGTAAACTGTCCAGAAAACAAAAGGAGGCTTTTAGGGATGCTCTTAGTTCACAGTAAGTCAGCAGGTGCACTGGCTGAGAGGCCTAGCCCCTGCCCAAATAGAGGGTCTACAGAGAAACTGATGAACAGAGTGCATGGCCCAGCCCTTAAAAGTCAAAGACAGCTGTGGTGGCTCATGCCTGTAATCCTAGCACTTTGGGAAGCCAAGGTGGTGGATCATCTGAGGGCAGGAGTTCAAGATCAGCGTGGCCAACATGGCGAAACCCCATCTCTACTAAAAACACAAAATAAGCTGGGCATGGTGGTGCATGCCTGTAATCCCAGCTCATCAGGAGGCTGAGGCAGGAGAATCAATTGAACCCAGGAGGCGGAGGTTGCAATGAGCTGAGATCGGGCCACTGTCCTCCAGCTTGGGTGACGGACTAAGACTCTATCTAAAAAAAAAAGTCAAAGACATCCATGCCAGGTGTGATGTGCTGCTGCAGATGAGAGGCGGACAGGCCCCCAGGATGTGCAAACCAATCAGAAAGCTCAGGGCCCTCAAAGCCAATAAGAGAAAGACAGAATATCTTAATTTGGGGGAGTATTTCTTACAATATTAGCAAAAGCTCTGAAAGAAAAATGCAAAATCTTAATTATAATTCTTAATGATGATGCTTAAAGATGTCTTCTTTAATGTACTTCACATGCCAGGAACACAAAAAGGGTTTGCGGGGGTATTCTCCCTTAATGCTGAAAAGTCTCAGGAGTCCCTGACTAAACCCCTCCATGACCATTGGGCCACTCACCCCTTCCTGCACCCTCCCCACAGAGCCAACCCCGAGGGCATATTGAACCACAGCTGCTTCCTCTGCAACATCAGAATCATCCACTCATACAAAATGGTTGACTGACACTCAGATGGAATCACTTTTGGCAAAGGAGACCATGGCCCAGAAGAGATACTCCATAAATTCAACCCATTTTTGCTGCGGGTCTATAGTGCAGACAGTACTCTCAGCAGAGGGATGCTGGAGAATCACCCATGATGATCGACTTAGTTCTTCAGCGAAGCCACTTATGAAATGATTAATAGAACAAATTCTCCAAGACAACAATCATTGTAATTCATCCAAGGCATGAACACTCCAAGCTCTAAAAGGCATCTTGTACCAACTCCATGGAAGATGGAAGGAGGCAACTACATTGTTGCTGTGTCATCCTTTGTTACTGAACACTTACTTCAGATAGAACAAGAGCAGCCCAGAATTGCCCCTTCATTTGCTGTTTCCAACCCAAGGAGAGTTTCTTTCTGGGACACTGTACTGTGATGGCCAACGGACAGCTGGCCCATCCACACCCTCCTCAGAAAGCTTTGCTCCACCCAGCACGAAGCAAACCATCCTTCCCCGAGTCAACCGAGGCGGCCGAATACTAGAGCCAGTGCCCTCAGCAGAGGGATGCCAGAGAATCGCCTTGAGGGCCAGGCGCAGGGGCTCACACCTATAATCCCAGCACTTTGGGAGACCGAGGTGGGTGGATCACAAGGTCAAGAGATCGAGACC